GACCTGTCAGCCGCCTCAGTCAGAGGGCTGAAGGATCCCGAGGCAGAACTTTTTTCAAAGCCAAGGCCAAAACATTTGAATTAGATTCATTCATCTTTGGGAACTACATAGTTTATCACATTTAGATCCATTTATGTGATGCTCTGTTTTTTATTTTATTTTATCTATTTTTTTTATGTGGTGACAAAGAAACACTTGACTATCTTTTTAAAGACATTTGACTTGATTTTAAGCTGGTTTCATGGAAGAGGATCAGACCTGTAATCATGGGGGTTCATGTAGGTTTGTGCAGATTGTGATGGTTTTATTTGTGTTGCATTAGAATGTTGCCTCCTAGGTTAATAAAGGTTTTAACCCTTCAGAAATTGCATGGGTAGAAGAAAACATGGAAACTGCTAATATAGCATTTTGTGTTTGTTAGTGACAACATATTTATCAATCAAAAAAAACAAATTAAGTCCCTAGGGAAACCATGTTCCCCTTACTTGGACTGTGGCAGAAAACCTCCTGTAGAGGGATTAGTTGGATAACATTTAGAAACTGCCGGGTTTTTTTAGACTGCATGGCAGACTGGTTGCAGACAGAGCAATGAGTGCATGGTGAGGCAGCAAGAGTAGATTATCTGGGGATTCTCCACGGTGCATCAGGGGAGATAGATGGATGGCGTGCAAGCTGCATGCGTCTTCCCAGAGCCAAGTGCCACTTGCAAGGCAATCCACTGTCAAAGGTCTATTAAGGGAAGATTGAGACCCTAGGTGTATGTGTGTGTGTGAGTTTGTGTTCACATGCTCATTGGTCATGGTCCTTCAGTGGAAGATTGAGACCCCAGTGCCCCCAGAGCCACTCAACCAACACAACCTGCAGTGGTTTACAATCAGCGCAGCACTGTCCATCCATCCACGTTCGCATTCAAACACACACATACAGGCACACACACCAGTTTGTATTTCTATCCATATTAAGACTTTACATTGACTCATATTTGTTTTACTTACTGTATTTATGCCTAACGATTTCATTACCCCTAACCCTAACTATAAGCAGCATATTTCAAACCCTAAGCTTAACCTAAAGTTAATTCACACCATACCTCTAAACTGACACCATGACATTAAAAATGGGCTTCCACCACATTAGGACTAGCCTTTGGTTCCCACAAACCAGTAAACTCAAATCTTGCAATATGTATTGAGGACCACGTTTTGACTAGGGATGTCCAGATATGATATTAATATTACAATCAGTCTGATCTCAGCTAAAAAATAAATACTGGCTCTATCACCCTGCATCTCAAATCTCTCATAGTAGCACCTTACAAAAGTATTCAGCCCACTTAAAGTGTTTGCCTTTCGCCACATAAACATAAAGATATTAAAATGTTATCTATTGTGAAGAATCAACAAGTGGGACGCAATCATGAAGTGTAACGAAATTTATGAGACATTTTGAATAAAAAAACAGAAGAATGGGGCATACAACTTGAATCAGCCCCTTTTCTTTCAGTGCTGCAAACTCTCGCCAGAAGTTCAGAATCCCCCTGTTTGTAATCAGATCTCAGTATAATGCACCTGCTCTGTGATAGTCTTAGGGGTATGTTTAAAGCATGTAGAGTATCGTGAAGAAAAAGGAACACACCAGGCAGGTTCAAGATACTGTTGTAGAGAAGTTTAAAGCCAGATTTTGATACCAAAAGATTTCCTAAGCTTTAAACATCCCAAGGAGCACTATGGAAGCAATAATATTGAAATGGAGACCACTGCAAATCTACAAAGACCTGGTCGCCTGCCTAAACTTTCAACTCAAAAGAGGAGAAGACTGATCAAAGATGCACTTAAAAGGCCAATGATCACTATAGATGACCTACAGAGATCTACAGCTGAGTCGGGAGATTCTTTCCATAGGACAACAATCAGTCATATACTGCACAAATCTGGCCTTTATGGAAGAAAGCCATTTCTTAAAGATATCCATAAAAAATCCTATTTTAAGTTTGCCACGAGTCACATGGGAGACACAGCAGACATGTGGAAGAAGGGCCTCTGGTCAGACAAAAGCAAAATCTACAATACAAAAAGCAACACATCTCATCACCCTAAACACACCATCCCCACTGTCAAATATGGTGGTGGTGGCAGCATCATGGTTTGGGCCTTTTATTCGGCAGAGACAGGGAAGATGGTTAAAATATCCAATAAATTTCATCCCACTTCATGTTTGTGTCCCACGTGTTGTTGATTCTACACAAAGAAATACAATTTTATATATTTATGTCTGAAACTTCAAATCTGGAAAAAGGTCAAAAAGTTGAATAATTTCGCAAGGCACTGTAGACCATACCTAGACGTTACCCTAAACTCAGTTCACACATTAGTCCTAAATATAACTGTTAGCAAAATAGGAATTGAAGACCAGAAAAACGTCTTGTTTTGGTGCATACGGTCCTCAATTTGATAGAGAAATTGGAAAAATAGTCCTTACTCCAAAACAGCCAAAACAGGAGCAGACAGATGCACACACACATAAAGTCACACACACAAATATATAACATAGGACAAACACTACATCCAGATGCTATTAAGGAGCAGCCATTGTAGAATAGCTATGTGTCCACAGAGTAAAGAGGGCAACCATCATTATGTCTTCAGGGAGGTTTTAGAGACAGATTGAAGTGCAGGTTAAGAAAGTTAAGGGTGGGCATGTACTATGTTGCAAGGTGGGAATCATGGCAATACCTTTGACAAGCCCTATTTGTCATCTGGCTTTACATCCAAAGCAAACCCACTGTTGTAGAGATGGATTGTGGGAGAAAAAGGGACCCCAAGCCTGGCAACTAATCCCGTACAAACCAGCAGCACTGCCCTCTTTTCCTTCACTGTGCTTGCCTTTGATGAACAAACACATTACCTTTAACTCTTGCAATTACAATGAAGTTTACGACACAGTTCCTATGGAGTCTTTAAACTCCGCCACAGTATGGCATTTTATTTGATTATAGTCCAGATTTTAATAAAAAACATCTGAAATTCTTAAAGTAGAAAAATATTTAGCTTTAAAATGTTTTGAATGGGTTTAAAATATAAACAATCTGAATTAAGTAAGTTTTCGATTTTATCATCTTTGGTCAAATTTACTAAATCCAAAGGTCTTTATCTATTTCTGTTATTGTGTTTATGTCAGAGAATCTACTCGCTCTATAACTGAACTCTTATTGAAAATTTCACTGCTTTTTTTTCTGCTTGAAGAAAAAAAAATCTGATTAGCCAAAATTGTTATTTTCTATATTTGGCCTAAAAGAAACCTTCACACTGGCAACTGAATGCTTCGGTAAGGCTGCCAGCTTTTTTCTCACCTTTTGAATGTCAATCCAGGATCACTCTTTATTTAATACTGGTGGTTATTTTAGTGCTGCCTGAATCACAGAGGTGTGATTATGGTATATTAACACATTTATTTAAAGCTTTTATATGTGCTTGTGTTGGAGACGGTTAAAGCTCCTGACTGTTGTTTGTTCAAAGCTAAACGTTAACCTGAGATGGATTATCTGGCAGATGAAACTAGTGCCTGTTTATCACAGCTCTGAACTTCATGCTTTGTTATTGGGCAATAATTAAGATTGTGTTGTTTATGAACAACTTGTGCAAAAGTGAATACAAAGTGGGCTTGTCATCAGGTGCAAAAACTCATCTGTTATCCCTCTTTTATCACTCAGAAAATACTGCGGGCTTTGCTTATTAGAAGAACCAATGTTTTCTCTAACTGCTGCTCAGAATGAGTAAAGGCAAGCAGGAGAATTACATAAACAGGGTTTGAAAGTAGAAATTTTACCTTTTTATTGGAGTTTATCATTGCATTTTGGAAAGCCAGTCTCCATGTATGAAAGCAAGATACTTTATACCAAGCACAGAACCTCTGTAATAATTAAACACACTCAAATCTGTCAAATGTTAGCCTTTGGATCTTGCCTAATCTCAGAATTACAAGCAAGTCAAGAAGCAGGTCTGTCTAGGAGGTTGGGGATCAATGTTTAGAAGATGAATAACTTAAAGAATTTTAAAGTAGTTGAAGTTAAAATAGCTATTTTAAATTTTCAAATTTCAATTACTGCATTATTAAGCCTTATGTTCATGGAGTTTTAGTGCTACAATTGGGGCTACAGGTGATTTTAACTCATACAGGATGTTTTAGTATATAAATACTTCAGTTTTACTTTACTTAAACCTGATTCAATCTAAGTTGTTTAAATGTTTAGAAAAAATTAACTTGATCATGTTGGACAAAGTCCAGCATGTTCTGACTAAACAGTTTATAGAACTTGTGGGTTGCTGCAGTGTTATGTTTCATACACCAGAAGCAACCAAATGCAAAGAAAGGTGTCAGTAACTAAAAAGAACAAAACCAATTGCTTTCTTTTACCAGCTTTACATTTTGGACTCCACTAGACTCACTGTTTCTGGGAAGTCTTCTCTGTTGGTAAACTAATGTACACAGGACCTCAGATTATCCACAATGCAAATTCATTTTTTTGTCTCAGTGTGTCATCCAGGCCAGGCTTTCATAAAACAACATGATGGATATGCATACAAATAAATAAATAAAAACACATGGGGCCCCTCTTTTCCCCCGATTCCAATCGCTCTAGTCCTCTGCTTCTCCACTGATGGATTTGTAAAATGATATAACAAATGAGACTTAAAGTGAGAAGGAAGGAGGGAGGCAGGGCAGGAGGGATGAAGGCACAGCACAGAAAGACAGAGCAAATGATTTATTAGACTCATAAAAATTCTGCCTCTGTTATTCCCTTTCATTTTTATATGTGAAGCTTATTAAAGAGCACACCTGCCAGAGTCTTCAAATCTGTGTGTATATGTATGTGTGTATGTGTGTGTGTTTGAAATGATGGGAATGTGCATTTGTTGATGTGCTGACTGGATACATTTTACTGCGGCCTCTGTTTTTGTGTGTGGTCAGACTCATCCATTCCTTATTACTGCTGTCCACAGATACTGTCTCTACATCCCATCTAAGCCCCGCCTCCAAGCGAGTGTTCAGGACACGCTACAAGATAGTGACCCGTCCGGGTACCAGTGGTGTGCAGACTCCGCAGTACAACCCAGCGCTCACCTGGCGAGCAAGGAAGATTCAGTCAGCAAGGTAATCTATGATGTTATATCCGAGTCGTCTGCAGCAGGGGCCGGACATTTATAGTAACCAAGAGTAGAAAATGGCTATTTAGGTATGCACCACCCACAATGGGTGGATCTTCTCCTGAATCTCATTACAGCCACACTTCTCTATAAGTACTGTGACATGTCAGGTGTCAAAGTAATTATAGAGTTTTTTGAAGCTGTGCTCAGAAGACCAGAATGTATATTTCCCCCTGTATCTAAATAAAAACTGTTTGAATTGCTCTTAAAAAAAAAAAAAAAAACTGAAATTGACCACATTAAACAAGGATATCAACACTAATGTGTTTTTAGCTGAGAAAAAAAGTCAGGGCACCCTTCTAATGGCTGGTTTATCCTAGTTCTCACAATCTAAATAAATATCTTGCCCATGAAAATGGATTCAGCAGCAGCCTTATACAATTTATTTCTTTAAAATAATTTTCCTTTATAATTACTTAAGTGATCAATAACAGCAGCTTCTTAGGTTGCTTCGAGGTACTACTGTTTTACTGCTCTTAATGGACAGTTTAATTTTGGCTCCAACATTTGTTTACGTTGACTTGTGTTCTAGTTAGCCTCCTTAAAGGCACACCATGTAAATTTTGACCAGTAGGGACGCTAGACCTTTAACGTTTGCGTCTAGCAATCCTTGTGGCCACAAGCGCCACAGTGCTGTCGCAAAAGTCAACAAAAAGTCAGCCGGCCAGCCTCCCATGTCTTTTGATTGGAGACCTAGGTGTCTTGGTTTGCCTTGGGGGACGTGAGAAACCCTGCTGCTCTCTGGAGAGCACTGCTAGGGCAGGCTGGCTTTGTTTCTACTAAACATTGAAAATAATAACAAAGATATATAACTGTATACTTGGAGCAAAGCTTTTACTCACCAGTCTTATAATAAAGTTGAGAAAAGAGAATCAGTTTTACATCTGGCTTCTTCTTTCAGCCTGCTCCAACTCCTTTCCAAGGTCGACTCTTGTTTTTCGGCGTGCACGATTCCGTTAAACTTTTTCTGTGCCTCAGCCATGACCATTAGTCCAGCAGGCAGAAAATAGTAGCGCAAAAGCCTTAGTTCCATGGCTAAAGAAGATCCTGTGGCCATAAAGCGATACGTTCTTCCAGGTCAGGTGACCTGGCCAATGACGGCACGTTTTATCCCAAATTACATAGTCGATTTTTTAAGAGGGGAGCCTCGTCCGTAGCATTAATAGTGTCAAGCGCTGTAGAAGTAACCACGAGGGTGTGCTGCTCTGTTTTGATGCTTCACTATTTAATAATGGCTGAGCCATTAGCTATTTAACGCTTTCAGCTGTTGATACTGCAGTAGAGTACTGTGTGATTAGAATGGACCATTTCAGGGTTTGAAACTGTGCACCTAAGAATTGCATCTTAACAAAGGAGCTAAGACAAACAACACGTGGGTCAAAGATGGTCAAAGTCTGCCAACACAGGTGCTTTAGCATTATTGGCGTACCTAGCATGTGATTTTTGTCAGCATTTCCTGTTTTTTTCAGGAACTAAAAAGTTTTTTGTTTTTTTTTTGACTGCAGTTTGCAGGTCTTAGCTAGTTTTAGCTTTTCATAATTACTTGATTGATACAATAAAAATATTTCTGTGTTATTTTACATTAATATCTTTCTTTGTTTTTACTCCTTTTGTTTATTTTGACTTAAAGATATACTGTGCAGGTTTAACAGTTAAGTATTTATTCTTCTTTTTCATAAATCCCCTTAAAACGGTTTGACATGTAAAATAAGTTTTCCTCTACTTAACCCTTCCTGTGTTTGCTAAATAAATAAGATGCTGTGTCAGAATGACTTTAGTATTTATAACTTTCGTACTTCAAAAGACATTATCCATATAAAATAAAATAAAATAAAATACCCATTTATGCAAAGCAGCAGACTGCACTGCTTTTCCTCTTTTCCTATCCTCTGGTACAACTCTGGTTAATTTCAACTTGTTGCCTGGAACATGAGCTATGATTCCTTAAAAAGGCAAGGGTTGACAGATTTTGCCAAATAACAAAATATCATTTTTTCCCTTGCGCTAGCCATAAACATATAGATGTTTGTCTTCAGGATGTTTGACCTTGTAAATGTACTTTTTCAGAGCCCAGCATCGCAAGACTTTGCTCTTGCTTTGAGCTAAAATGTTGCCTGTTGTGGGAAAAGTGCTCACTTCTATTCGTATGCATAGTTCTACATGCTAGCTGCAATGCATTCATCACTTCTGCTTGGTGACACACCCGCTTAAAGGGTATTACCACTAGGGCTGGGCGATATAGAAAAAAAGCTTATCGATAAAAAAAATGCATATTGATCGATATCGATAATTATTGAAAAGATTTGAAACCATATTTTATGTGCAGCTCTGCCTGGACTTTTTATAATATTGCTAAATGATTTAATTTTAATAAAAAACACAAACACAGACTTCGAATTAAATCTTTATTTAACCAACTTTTTTAACCATAACAGAATTGTTTTAAAGAAAAATAACTTAAGAGACCTGAGTTATGTTATTAAATACTGACAAAGAATAAACTTAAGTGACCAGAAAAGTGACCAAAATAAATATAACAAATAAATAAATGCCCCCCCACCGCCGCCCCCGTTTCCGGCTTTAATCTGAGTTATTACTTTGAAGTTTCTGGCCCCTCAGCATTTTTATCTCAATTGTTAGAACTACGTGGGAAACTGCCCAGAACTGAAAATATATATATATTTTCCGAAGATTCCTCGGAGGAGAGCCGCGGCGGGGCCTACACAGCTGGTACTCCTTCGGCTGTGAGCGGCTGAGATGATAAAAAAAAGTTGGTTTCGTTATCAGACTGGTTTTCACTGGTTCCCGACACATTTTCTAGATGACTGTGGTTTGTTTTTGGTCCGACTTGCCATGACCGAAATACTGCCAGACTGCCGAACTACAAAAACCTTTCTTTGAAACAATTTCCTCCGCCTCTCCTTGCTGCACAGCTTCATGTGCTCCATGTTGTGGTTTGAGAGGGCGGCGCTTGGTGACGGCGTGCCTGGGTCCGCGATTGTGATTGGTTGGGAGGAAGCAGTGACTAGCATAAACCTACATGCTAGGCTACAATGAGAAGGAAGGAAAACTGCGTTTCTTTTTTATCGAACTTTTATCGACCCTCTTTTTTTCTATTGCGCCACACGTCTATCGATCGATATATATCGTTATTGAATTATCGCCCAGCCCTAATTACCACCACCTAAAGGGCTGAGTGTAATAGTATGCGCCTTACTCTTATATGAACAAAATTGCATGGCGCTGCGATTAAAATTTTTTTAGTTTTTTTTAAATTGCAATTGCATTGCATTTCAGTTAATTACCCAGCCCTATTTCCCACCTAGTCAATTAGCCTTAAATCATTAATTTGTGACACAAATATTTCCTCAGTTTAACAACAATCTTGAATGATTTATTTAAAATTTCAGTATGAGATCTTAAGGTCTTAAGATAACCTACACTATCCTTTGCAGCTTAATGTGTCTCCATTCACAATTAAAGATCTGCGGATATTTTTGAAGTTGGCGACTGTTTTTAAAGGTACTTCTCTACTAACTTTTTCATTTGCTTGTTTATTCCATGATTCAGTTTTGGGTTTTAAGGGAAGTGAGGGAGGGGTGATCATTTGTTTAATCTAGATTTGGTGAGACAGAGGGGCTTGGAGCGTGGCTGGCCGCAGCCTCTGGTGACTTATTACTATTCATTTAGCTGCTGCAGTAAATATTGATTCATCAAGGGATTTTCAATTTGAGCCCGTTGACATGCTGTGAAATATCACCATGTGTGTACAAGTGAAGGGAGAGATAGGGTGGGAGGGGGGACAGGTCGGGTCCCCTGGGATGGGGCCACTCTACTCGTTCATCTCTCAAGCTTATCTATCAGTTAAACTCCAAAGAGCAGCAGCTCCTTTTATCAGTTTGATGCTATTGAGTGGTGCATGAGCTCATATTCTTTGCTCTTAACTACGGAGTGCTGCTCTATATCTTTGGCCTATCACACCTACTGATCCCTCCTCATAGGTCCTCAGGTCTTATCTCTGTGGGTGATCACCACTGCATCCCATTCTGCTTTAAAAAGAGCAGCTGCGACTTAAAACAAGGAATAAGTAGTTAAAAAATAAATCGGGGCACTGGATTTTTTATTTCATGTTGAAGAAATGATCTTACTATTCAGTTAATTAACAAAAAAATGGTTTTCAATCTCTTAAAAGAGGTTATAATTGTTTTGTAGTGATAATCTGTTCATAAAATTCTCTGATATTTTTACGCCAATTCCAGCGTCTATTTATTTTATATTTTTTAAACCACCTGTTAACCTAAACGTTTTTTGAAAGAAATCACATACTTTTCAAAGCTAAAAATCCTTCAGTATTATTGTCAGCATCACATGTCAGCAGTTATATTGTCTGATACTTGGATTATTTCAGGAAGCAAGTCCTGAACCGTAAAGACCTACTGTGTAATGTATCAGTGGTTTCATATGTGGCTACAAGTTTTGGATACCACTTTTTTCAGTTTTCAGGAGTCTTCATTCTGAAGTCAGCAGGTTGCAATACTCCCAGTGCCTGATCGTAGTTACATGTGGTCAAATATATAGCGCTGTTATTGCTGACATTTAAATTAGCAAAACATCAGCTTACCTGCCAAATGCAAGTTTAAAGTTATCTTTAATGCCTGCATCAATATTGTGCCAGTGCTTTTAATTAGTCAGCCAAATATTTTTAAATGCAGCTATGAATCATTTGTGAATATAATCTAACAAATAACTCTGTTGCTGATCAACGCCTCAGTGAATTAATGGCAACTCAAAGCCAGATCACATTGACTATGAGAAGAAAATTAATGAGACTTTTAACTTCTTCAGCTACAGGCTTCCACAATAACACTTTGGAACGCCATTAACTTGCAAATTAACAGCGGTCCAAACAAGCTACTTGTAAAGTTTTATTGACCCAAACTAATTTAT